TTATGAGCTAAGAACGCGTTAAACGATTTGAGATTGAAAACATATTTTGACGGATCTAAGATAAGGAGTGAGAATTTCTGGTTAAATTGAGTGATGTTTTGAAACCCCTTACAGGTTTTTCACACAACGTGCTTGATGTTGTAACCGGCATACTTTGGACTTGAAAACTCCCATATTGTAATTGTCAACTATTTAATTATCCGCTGACCAAAGGGTGTTCACGGTTACCTGCTTTAAACTGTAAAGATTCCGCAAATGCACTTTTCGTAAACGTTTCGTTACGGAAACTTGAAACAAACAATGTCACGAAATGCCAAATAAAAGTTCTAAGTAATCGAATTTTTGTCATTGATGTCATACCATTTTAAAATGCAAAAAAAAACTCAGGTGTTGATGAGTATATTTGATTACATTTCGTAACAGTTTGGTAGAATTTTGCAATTATGCTGACACTTAGATTGCATAGTAATATAAAATTAGATATGTATTTAAGTAACGTAATAAACTGGTTTCCCTTTATTTTCGTAGGCTTATTTCCGACAACGTTTTCCCTTTAGCAATTAGTTATTATTTGGGTAACGATTCGTTTGCCTACCCCGAGGTGAAATTCGGCAACCCGGGTCAGCGAATAAGCGGGAAACAGTTAAATTAGCAAGTTATTTATAGTACTGCTGCCTGCCCTCTGTTATCAGGTGTTTATTTGGAATTAACAACTAAAAGTCACTTACACGCATACCTAAATTCGACAGGATTTCAGTAAACTATATAAATACTGGATGTATATGAAACATCTCAAGAATAAACGATTTTAAACAAAAACAACGATGTTTATATGCAAATACACAAAATTCTAAGTTGTGGAGGACTGACAGACGACCTTTATTTAATGCGGTTCAAAAGAGGAGAGACAAATAAAACTTGTTAAGCAATGCATCCGCAAAAAGTGCCCTAAATTTTTTACACATTTCGCATAAACGATTGTTCGGTTACTAAGCGATTTTTCAATAATATATTGATATTATTAAACCGAAGCGTTGTTGTCGAGTTACCGATTTTACGTGTTTTGCAAAAGCCAGATAAAGAGTCTCCTTATTATTCTTGGGTCTATCTGTACTTATTAATAAACAATCATTTGAAAGTGGTAAAAAACTGTTGTAATATTTACTGTGCCGACGGAAGTGTGGACTTAAAAAAAGTTGCATACACTTGCACTCGAGATCCCTAATCCGATGTAAAGCCATAGAACATTAAAACAAAAAATAAATAGCTTGTTACAAATCTCCTCACTTTAGAAATCAATATATCTTTATTTAAATTTAATATGATAATAGAATACATACTACGAATCAGTACATCGCAGTAGCTTCTTTGAATCGGAATATATCTCAGACCTTTGGCCTTCTTTGCTCGTGGCGTATTGAATCAACAAATAAGTAACTCACTTAATAAATATTTCAGTAAATTTAGGTTTTAAGTCGTCTTATGTCGAGACCCAAAATCAGATTGCATCTAAACGTTTAACCACCTACATTTTCTACTTCATTATCTTTATAAGTTAACCTGTAATATATACTCTGCTACTGGGAAAACATTTCCATGTTATAGAATTGTTTTTCAAATATTAATAATTATCGGGTAATCGACTTGACCTGGCTTGTCACTTTAAAGTTACCTCCCAAGGGGTAATTTTACGGAGATTATCAGTAAAAGGATATATGGCGAAAATATTTTTTGGTTTAAGTTACGAGATTTTCTCTTTGACATAGTGAGCGATAGGAAATATAAAGAGGACACTCAACCGCGTGTCCATTTATTTGGATACCTCGTTGTATGCCTAAAAATTTTAATTAGTAGCCGTGTTTTATTTGAGCTTTAATGAAATATAACATTTATTAAGACCATTTGGAAAGCTTACTAATAAAATCTTTATATATATTGCATGTACATTAGTTGACTTGTCGCTATCCGAAGCGGATGTCTTCAGGACATTACCCTACCTTATCTCCACTGTTCTGAAGATAGTAATGCGTAATTTGTTATTATTATTATAATTATTTCCTTCGTTGCCTAGGTAAATGGCCGGCAGGACGACATATCGTAAGTAAACATTATCGGAGAGAGAATGATGCCAGTACGCGCCGCAGTGTTTGCATTGCTTGATAATGTAATATTTATTAGCTGCCCCACAAGTGTAACATACATCATCGTCGCGTCCAAACCGATAATTGTCAATCTTATTATCAAACAACTTATTGGGTATATATCTTAACTACCCGTTATAATCTGATAGAGATTATCAAATAAAATATTTAACTTGAGCTTATTTCCGGTTAGGTTAACAGATAGACAAAATGCCTTTCTGTATTCATTTCTTAATTGACGAAGTATACTGGCTCCCAAATAAATATAGATTTTATATATTTTATCATTTACACCAGTCGTTATATTACTTGTATTGAGCAGGCACAGATACGTACCATAATTGATCATGAATCAAAGCTCTGCGTTAAAGACACATTTGCAGCCCCTTGCATTTGGCCCGCCAAGTGCGCGGCTTATAGAGAAATCCACCAAATTTTAACAATACAACATATCTAGTCAAAGACGCGATATTTATTATTTCATGCTATTAAACGAACCATGAAATCAAATGTAGTAATCTAAATTGTTCTCAAATCTGTTTTCATGTGAATATTTTTTATCTACCTACCAATCTATGGATTAATGGATTCCATTGCGTGTGTAATTTGTTGGCGTCATTAGCCCATTTTTTACTAACGATCAACTGACTTTTGGCCCATAGACTCAATTAATTGTTTGCTACATTAAGTTAATTTCTTATTACAGACAGATCTTGTCTATACGTTAGATTTTTATGGCTTATATATATATATATATATATATATATATATATATATATATATATATATATTTATATATATATATATATATATATATAATATATATATATATATAAATATATATATATAAATATATATAAATATATATATATATAGTAACAACGGCCACTACATGGCGGACTATATGGCTTTTCCTACGAAGTCTTTTAACCTTTTAATCTTAGTATCAAGTAACGGAGACCAAGTTGACAGTAATATTATTGAATCATTCAATGTAAAGATTTTTTTAACGTATTAAAACAGCATTTATGTTTTTAACATTGTATAGTTCTTGGTGCCGTTTTACCAGGCTATATCCAACGAATGTCCAAACGTCAACTTACTGGTAGAAATTTTGCACCAACATTACGTGGTAAGACTAGTCAAGCGGTTAATAAACGAGCCCCTATATGGGTGTCTTGTATTCCTCTTTTGTTGTTACTCCCCGATAACATAAGCATAGAGTGCTCGAAACAGGGCGACACTAGTTTCGCCTTTTTACCCTCTGTTATTTAGTACATACAGAACAAGTGAAAATGTTAAATAAAAAAAAGAGAATGCAAGAAGAATGGTTTTTGTTCTGTTTGATTTTAATGTTTTAGTCATAAACGATTAACATGTGCGTCATCATTCCTTACTCGGAAAAATGGACCGATCTATGTTTTTAGCTTCAATAAAAAAGTATTTACATGGAGGAAGTTAAGAAATGCGGAAACATGATTTAATTTTAGCATAACACAAATATGCGTGTAATATGGATAACGTAAATATTACATACAGGTAATTGTTGTTACTATTCCTAAATAAAACTATACTCGAACTATAATGGTTATAATATTATTAAAATTAAAATGTGAAACATTCTTATTTCATTTTTAAATAATCAAAACACGAAATATGTAGGTATACCCAATGGTATTATATATTTAGTCCAATGGATCTTGGGAGGTCCAATGGATCTTCTTTATTAAATTAAAAAGTTCCGATAAATCAACAGCTAGCATTGCAGTAAGGTATCATGTGGTAGTTGTGGCGGTCTGTAATGTGGTTTTGTCAGACTGCTGAATAGTTGAACTTGAATAGTTGGTTTTTAAATTTTAAAGTTTTTTATAGTGCTAATCTCTGCACTTAAGATTGAACATTAAAACATGTAGAAATGAAAATGCGCCAAGCATTGCTTCAAATGCTAAATTAACAATGTAGAAAAAGGCGTTAAGATTTTCGTCGCTGTGGCTATCAGCCGTTTAGCTCAGTGGCTAGAGCGTCAGGCCGCGAATGCCGAAGACGTGGGTTGGGGACGATTCCCACAGCGGCGACAATCTTTTTGTACTTTTTCTACATGTTTGAATAGTTGGTGTTTCAATTATTATCTAAGTGTCATTTAATTAGCTTTTAATATATCTTTTTGATTATCACACAGACAGCTAATGTTGCTTAGCTCTACCACATGGCTCGGAAGCTGGTAATATTTAAAAAAAAAATATGTTTATAAATGTTTTCTTTTTGTACACTGTCTACTTTTTCACGTTTTACCATCAATGATAAAACTAACAGATCTTAGTTCTGATTGAGGATGTTTCAAAGTTGGAAAATAAAATGTTAAAACAAACTATCATCTGATTTCGAGAAACAGGTTCTGAGCCGACGGATGAAGCAAGTCGATAGACGTACTCGTGATATGCGATGGGTTTTTTTGCCGTCCGTACACAACACAACACAACAAAAAGTATATTAATGACGCTCCGCTAGCAGAAGCGCTCGAAGGTTCAATACAGGTTTGCAAGATAATAACATTGATTATTTTCGCAAATATTCATCAATAAGACATAACAACAAATAAGAATGAAATGATCCGTCGTATATATGCAATAGATATGGTTGTTATTTTGATAGCGAAAACATCGGAAGATGCAAACTTTGCTTACCAACAGCAAACAGCAATTAGTGTACCGGCAAGTGTAGTACAAGCGAAGCAATTAAAACAAACTTCCTCCGCTCTTGATCTTCTCGCTTAAAACACACAATTTAATTTGTGCAGTATTAATGTCAGTTATCGATACTGTTCGTCTTTTGTCACAAGTTTCACTTCACTTGACGTCACAGCGTGCGACGAAGAGAATAAACTTGGCGCGGCTGGGTTTTCCAGCTGGACGTGCGCTTTAACCGCCCGCTGGGTTCAAACTGACATCCGAGCGGTACAAACGCGCGGGCTTCGAGCGCGCGTTCAGCCCGATAACCCGCGTAAGCCCAAAAGCTTCTGAAACGCTTGAGGACGCAGCGACTCGCCCTTGTTGACGGCATCGGCGTTTTGTGAGCGACTCGTCTTTATTTTTGAGTGCATTCGTCGGTTTCACTGATTCAAATATTGTCTTTGTTGCGACCTCGTCAAGTTCGTCCTGAAATTCATTTCACAGTAACTAAAACTTTTACTCCTAAAAAGTTCTCCGTGCGTGACTTTTTAGAATTTTTAATTTTTAATTTTTGTAATTTATTTACATTGACTGTCATAATTTTTTGCCCTAACATTTCAGTGCAATACAACATTAGTACAGTTACAAGCTATAAAACTATAGAGCCAAAATATACAGATCGAAAAGACTAGATTGTAGATTCAAATCATTACCTCTTGTTAAGTATAAATCACTTTTATTCGATTGGTAATTACAAGTGAAACAGTGGAAAGTTAAAGTAGTTAGATAGTTATTAGTTATTCATCATTATTAGTATTCTTGCTAAAATGTTATGGAATAGTTAGAAATACGTGATAATTGAAAAGGTGAATTCATTCTATGCAATAATTAGAGGTTTTATTTATGCTGAAATGAAATAAACATTCAGGGTATGTCTTAGAACGAACTGAATACTGTGTTAATGAGATGCAACTATTTGTTACTGCATTGAAGTCACAATTCCCTTTAACGTCTGATGCTATTTAGATCTCCTTGCGTGTGGTGCTTGCACTTTACATTAACATGCACGTGTTACTTTGACGCAAAGCATTTGGCATGACGTCAGTGATGATTTATTTTATTTGTACGTCTTATATTTTAACAAAGGAATAAACGACAGTTAGTGGGGAGTAATATTTCTGGATTTAGATTCGGCGATCGCAACTATCAAGCACATAAACAAAGTTATACAGTTCGTATATGGTGTGAGGTTCAATTTAAATTAGGTAATTTATTTTAAAAAGTAACTCATTATTGATCAGTTATGACGGTTACGTGCTTACGGTCGCCTTTCGTATTGAAAAAGGCACCTAAAGTTTGAGTAGACTTAAACCGCTGAAGGGTTATTATTATAGTTTATGACGACACACACTAACTGATAACTCACAAGAAGACGTAACAAAAAACCGACCAGGTGCGAGTCGGACTCACTTATAAAGAGTTCCGTACCATTATTTATAAAAACGGTAAAAATTCATTTCTGTTGTATGGGATTCCCACTTAAATATTTTTTATTCTGTTTTTTAGTATTTGTTGTTATAGCGGCATTTCAACTGTTTTACTATCACGGTTCATAAGATACAGCTTGGTGACAGACCGACACACAGACAGCGAAGTCTTCGTAATAGGGTCCCGTTTTACGCTTGCGGTACGGAACCCTAAAAAGATATAATGTTCTCGCAGTTTAAATCGCCCGTTTTTTTCTGAAGATTTGTTAAAACAATTTGCCCAGGAAAACTATCTTCAGTAGCTATTGTAAATACGCCTAATACAAATTTGTTCAAATTTTATATCTTTTAAATCACATTAACGTTACAAGCACAAAAACGTGAACGACACAAAATGTTTTATTTATATTGCAAAATAACTTTAATTTTGATATGCAATTGATAGCTTCACAAAACATGGGATAAGGTAAATAATAAGATAACTGTCGCATAACTCAGTTATCTCCAATCAATACTGGATGATAATGGACATATATCGATAGTTAAGTTATCAATCTGATATCATTTTTTCACTACGTCAACAATTACGTTCCAATGTAAGATTTAGGTCACGACTAAATTTCGCTGACTTAGCTTCAATACGACCTAGATAAATATTAACACAGTTTGCCATTTATATATATGATTCTTGATCGTTTTTAGTTCATTGAGATGAGAATTTATTGATTTATTCCCTCAATATTATCCGTCACCCAAACTCATACACTTCAATTAGGTATTAACAATCTCATAAGACAGAATTTCGTACACAAATAAAGTAAAATTTTAGATCAGCGTTAATTTATGTCTCTGAGTGTTTTTATAGCTGGGCTTACATTTATGATCAGAATAAAGTAAATTAAGGTAACAAGCCTTTGTTATATATACAAATCTATACGTAATTATGATTAATAAGGTAATAAACGAGAAAGTGTCGTTACTGAGACAATGGGATTGGGGTTATGAAGTTGCGAGAATTAATGACGGCCAATTAAAATGGTTTTCGTTTTAACCTTTCCGCTCAATGATTTTGTTTAGTAGAAACTAATTAAAAGCAACTAACAAATAGTCCAATGAAATCCTATACGGGCGTCTGTTATCCGTAGTCAAGTTCTGAAAGCAATGAAAAGGAAATCGCTAATGGATATGCTGTCATGCAACATTCCCTGAAGATGGATAGCGACGGCTTGGTCATATAATTTCAGTTTTAATCCCTCAACCTTTTTAATAATCCAACCCAACTAAATAATTATTAATGCATTCGCATTTCACGATCGAACTGTATTCATTATGAAATATTAGGCCAGGCAGCTAGTGTATGTATTGCAAAATGTATGTCATATATTTAGTAATATGCAGATACCAGTATTTTCGAATATATACATTTTATAACGGCTGCACCTATGTTATTTGTCACATAACTCTCTGAACTTCTTAGTTAATTAATTATTAGTATTAATAGTTTATTAGCTAATGTAGGATTGGATAATCCTGAGTTGCGGATGGGATAGAACCCATGATTTATCCTCAAGCAATTGCAAAAATTTTTACTATGTTATCAAGACACATTAATTTTAAAGGTTAAACAACTTATTTCTTTATTTATCTGTGTAGTTACAGGACGTGCTGTTCGATATAGACCCTAGGGCTTTGATCGGCATTGCCGAGAAACACAAATAGTCATAGCTATTTTTATTACTATTTTCAAATGAACTCTAAACAAAATATCACAGTACATTTATGTCTCGCTATTTGTGACTTTGAACGCTGTTAAGGCTAATGTACAATGACAGCGCCGGCGGCGAACGGGCGAGTTCAGTTAAAAATATTTCACAATTTATCTTGACGCGTTGACCAATGCCCTGGGAATAAATTTGGTGTTCAGCTATTACGTAAGCACTACGGTATGAGAGCAGTACTCGTCTTCGGCAAAGGAGACGCGCGAAGTGTTGATAAGAGTTCTCAAATGCACACATTATGTGCACAGAACAGAAACTTCCCAAAGAATTTAATGTCAGTTTGCTCTTTAAGCACTCCGCGTCTGCTGAAGGACAATAGGCTATATAGTTTGTGCTAAGAATGGCGAACAAAAACGCGGATGCCAAGCGGAAGATGCGGTAAGCATAAATAGGTAATTATGTATTCAACTAGTGGGCAATTAAGGTTATTCAACCATATAATGGAGACATTAAGAAATACCGAAGATCTCGTCGCATTTTCACGTGGGTAAACCTGTTTGGGATTGTTTTTATTTTGATGTTTTATACATTTCATAACTGTTATGCGAATAGTGGTACCTACTAAACAGTTTGTAGCAATAAATTTATATTATAAGTTGTTTTACTCATTTTTTTTTCTCTTTTGTACATTTCCACAAATTTATGCAAGAACAGGAATTTAAAACAAAATAATAATAGTGTTAATTATTTTATTTTGCAGGTGTTCTTTTGTTAATTAATTATTATTCAAAAGTACGAAAAGAATATCTGGAACCTTATTTAATAAATTCGTAAATTTCTTCTAACTATATAACTTGGCTTTTGCATACAATACAAACTAAATCGCCCTTTGTAGGTTAAGGTTCCGAAACTGCACGATTATATTGCATTTTATTAAAAGCGTATCCATCCGAGAAATTCCAGGATACATCATTCAACCAGCTCCTTGAAGAAATCCAAGTGTTGTAATTTGCCGTGTTTCCGTCCTAAATGAGCATTTTGGTCCAAAACAATTGTTCATTAACATAACTAATATTAGCTGCATGCATATGTAATGTTTTAATAATTGACCTGGTTAAAACACAAGAGTATTTCACCCAGAACGCAATATTGAAATTCTTTATCACTAAGCAATTTATTCAAATTTAATTAAAAATTACTATTTCATTTAATTTAATTCGATATATTAATAAAATTATGGAAAAAATTCATGCTTGTGGTGTCTGACAGATGTCAGCAATGACCGAAAATGGATCGTTTTCCATAATTTATTTGAAACTAACCGATACCCGTGACTTCGAATACGTTGTTTATTTTACTAACAATCAGTCAATATTCGGATTTAATTATGCTCTTATGTATTTATTTATATTTATGTATATCTTTTATATTTTAGTTTATTTTGGTATTATCACTTAAGTTTTTCCAAGTTAAGTTGACCGCCTTATTATACCTAACTTTTTAAGATTTATTTCCTATCACTTTGTATTAAATTCCTTGTAGTGTGCTGTGGGTTATTATTATATATACTCTATAGTTTATATAATAATAATAATGTATTATATGTACAGAGAAAAATACATAAGAGATCGGAATCTGATACCTGCGACACCAACATAAATATATATATAATAGATTTTTCATAAATATTTAACATTTATTAAATAAATATAAAGAAATAGTTTTTTTTTTAGATATGGGTATGGCAATTATGTAAGGAAATAAGACGTAGAAGAATTAATGGCAATACATTTATTTTTATATTTCCACTGATGGCATATTTAATATTTTTTTTTAATTTTTTCATTCAATGAATGATACCAAGATTTACAATAATTAAGCCAACTAAATTAGAATTTAATGAAATCTCTTTAGAAGACAATGCGCGTACAAAGGCAGACCTCTGTTATTTTTTTATATATCTGCCATATTCTACGATTATTCGAAGAAATTATCAAAATAGTCACACCTAAGATTTGCAAATTGTAGTTATTATGTAATCACATTACGTACCAAATAATTTATACATCATTGACTTCATGGTTTATTTTATATATTTATTGGCTTTAGTATTAAAAATAAATAAAATTGGTGAAAACAACATTCGATATTAGGCTAATCTCGAGCTGAAGAGTCTCGTTAACTCT